GGGGCAGGGGATGGAGAGTGGGGGGTCCCCTCAGATGCAGCACTGCCCCCCCCAAGTGTCCACTAGGGGCAGTGGCTCAGCAGGGAACCCCCCCACCATCTAACTCTCCCCCCCCGTCTCCCCCCCAGGTGCGGGCCAGCGCCATCGCCCAGGACGCCGACCAGAACTACGACTATGCCAGCAACAGCGTCATCCTGCACCTGGACGTGGGGGACGAGGTTTTCGTCAAGCTGGACGGTGGAAAGGTGCACGGGGGGAACACCAACAAATACAGCACGTTCTCCGGCTTCATCATCTACCCGGACTGAGCCCCTCTGCACCCCCGGCCTGAGCCCGTCGGCACCCCCAGCGTTGCCCTGGGACCCCTGGACTGAGCCCGTCTGCACCCCCAGACTGACCCCCTCTGCATCCCCAGTGTCGCCCTGGGGTCCCGGACTGAGCCCCTCTGCACCCCCAGACTGACCCCCTCTGCACCCCCAGCATCGCCCCGGGGCTCTGCTCTGGGAAATGAACTGGACAGACCCCCGGGCTCCTGGCGGGGCGGGGGGCTGCGGGCGGCTGGGTCTAGGGGTGCAGGGGGAACTAGGGGCTTAGGGCATCTGCTCTGGGCCCCCCAGACGTTACCAGCCCCTGATGACATGGGGGGGTGGCTGCAGTCGGGGGGGAATCAGGCTGCAGTGGGGGCCCAAACCCACTATCAGCTGGGGGGAGGCACTAACCATCTCCTTGCAATTGGCGGGGTTGCTGGGTGGGGCCCATGGGGGGGGACCCTGGGAAGGGAGGGGTCAGGCATGGATGTGGCGTTGGGGTGGGGGGCTGCAGTTCTGAAGTGGCTGGTCTTTCCCCCCCCCGGGGCCCTGCCCCCCCCCCAGCCTGGGGGGACGGGATGGCACTGGCAGATTGGGCAGAAAATTCCCCCCTCCCCTCCCTCCGGAGCCTCCCAATCTTAGATGACTTGACCTTCATCCAGAGCTGGGTGGACGTCAGGGGGGACCTGGGAAAACAGCCCCCAGATGCCTGACAGGTCTCGCCTCCTCCTCTGCTCAGATCCTCCCCCCCCCCCAGACACCCCTGGGGCAGGAGAGATGCCCGCCTGCCCCCTGGCATTGGGGTACAAATGGGGCATCCCAGCTCCCCCCCCCAGATCACTGCCCTTGTACAGAGGCCCCCACAAACCCCCAAAGTGGGGAGAACCCGCCTACCCCTCATCTCTTCTCCCCGGATTATACTCTGCCACCATCCGCAGCCCCACAAGTCTCTTGCATGAAGGGTTGTGGGGTGGCCCTAGATATCGCTATATATAGACTGGGGGGGGTGCCCATTTGGTGCTGCCCAAGGGATGGTCTCATGTCCCATCGACTGGCTGACGTGCACCTGTCTGTATATAATATAATCTCGGCACTGCCCCCTGCTGGAGGCCATTGGAGCTGCTCAAGCACGTGTCATAGACCCTGTATGGCTAAGGGCCGATGGCGAGTCCCTCTCCCAGTCAGCCTTCAGGAGCGGGAGGATCCGAGTCCCACTGGTGTAATAGAGAGATGGGCCTGGCTGGGCCAGGGGTCTCCCCCATCACAGCTGCCTACTGCAGTGGGGGGCTTCCCTCTGCCCCCATGGCTAGCCGGGCAGGAGGAGTGGGGGGGCAGCATACACACAACACCCCCCATTCCACCACAGCCCCCACTGCTGTTCCCCTCCCCCCTACACACAACA